TTCTGGTTCATCAAACACTCTTCTGTTGCTACATTTAACCTGGGTATTCAGAGCCAATCTCACAAAGACTTGCCTGTCTGTGCTCTTCTGACAGCAGGGTTGTGCTATAACATGCCTTTAATCACAACGCAAGTAATTATTTTGAATTCAAAAATTCAAACTCCTACTGTACATCCTGCTTCATGTGTTTTTCTGATGTTTTCTTAGGCAACACGTAATAAAAGTCAAGACATCCTTGCTTCTGCTCAGCACATCTTGGACAGAGAATATTATTTTGTAAGGGTAAGAAGTCATATCTCTTCTCTGATTTTCTGTGTGCTTTCCTGCATGTCGATGTTTTTTCTCTGCACCACTGATTCATGAGAAAATGTCAATTCTCTGTATCCTTGAAAAACTAAGTGTAGAAGTACAGAAGTACTGGCTTCTTTAGTCTCCTCAGGGTAAGACTGAAGTGGTAACCCTAAATATGAGCATGGGAATCATGTCTTTAGTGACTTACTTGCCTGTTTGCACCTAACTTTTGTTTTGTGGGTGTCGTTAGATTGTGATGGTGAATAAAGGGGTGATCTGATCTCATGAGTTTCCACTGCTGCAGGGAGAAGGTTCCGGCTCCTGCTGCCTCTCGCACAGTCTGGTGCTTACCAGACCCCTGCTCTGACATGACTTCAGCCCACTAACGTGGTGTGAGAAAGTGAATGATATTCTGCCAGTCTTGCACTACAGCTTGAAAAATTGGGGTCTGAATGTCAGAGTTCATGCAAGGGAGAGCTTGGAAACTAGTGGTGGGAAGTGGAGAGGGGGAGGAGCAGAAAGAAGGGCTGGAAAACACGGCCCTTGCAGCGGTGACCAGTCAGTCAAGCTGTGTAGTGTCACCTGTGGACTCATTAACGTGGTTGGCCAATAGGTTATAGGATTTTTATTTTCTGTTTCTTACTTAGGAGGTGGACAGTTATTTGAAGCACAATGATTTCTTAAATCTGCGAAAGAAGGAGATCCTGTACAAGAAATGGCTTGAGGATGTTTTGGAGCCACTGCTGCAGAAAATTGAGGACAAAATGGACAGCCAGTCAAGTGAAGAAATACGGAAAAGGAAAGAAGAACAACTCTCTCGCTATTTAAACTACTGTGAAAAGAAGGTATTAATAAGTAACTTACTTCCCCCAAGGACTTCTGCAGTGGTGACATCACCACTCAGCTCGCCATCAGATATGAACAGTAGCATTGTTTGGTGCAGTGAGCACGTGCTGGGGCCTGAATACGTTGAGACACCATATTGTGGTGGGTTTCCCTTGTGAGTGGGGCTGTCTTGGGGGAAAACCTTGAGCTCTGTCAGCTGAAACCAAAAGTTAAGTCTATGACCATGGAGGGGACCACACTCTTACATCTCAGGAGTTCAGCTGGGGCAGTGCTACAGTATGTTGGCAGAGCATGAATGAAACAATTTAGTGGCCTTGGATGCTACTGATCAAGCTTTATGAAAGAAAATAGGTGGGAACAGGAAGAGACAAACAGTTTTCTTAAGTCTGAATGCAGGTGAATAGACTCAAGTCAAGGATTCGGTAGTTTCATGTATTTCAGTACTCATAAAAATTGCAGTCAGTGTAGGAAATACTTGCTGGGTTTGATGATTTTGCTCTGAATTTCACACCACTGTTGAATAGCAGTAAAATTAATTTGCATAAGCTTACATTAATCACGGCAGCATATGATAAATTTTGCAGAACTTCAGGCACTTCTGTGGATTGGTTAATATACTGACTTTTGGCCGTGCATTCTCTGCCCCTCTCTTCTTTCTGACCATTTTCTCTTGCTCTCCTCCCTGCTATTAGGCTTTTCTGTGTACTCTTCCCCAGATCTCACCTTCCTGTGTCTATCACCAGTCTGTTCTCCCTTTCCATATCTCTTCTTTCTCCAGTCTCTCCTCTCGCTCTCTTTCTCTCTCCAGCTAACCCTTTTACTCCATCTCCAAGTCTTCCATTGTTTTGTCCCTCTTTCTTCTGTCAGATTCCCCGGAGCTGTGTCTCCCTTTTCTTGTTGTTTCATGAGATTCCTCCAAGTTCTCCACTGCCCTTTGCTTTCCAAAGCTACCTTCTTCCCCTTTCCCCCGCTCTCCTCCTCTCCTCTAACACTCTGTCTCCTCACTGTCCTTTCAGGTTCTTCCATCTCAGTCTTTTTGTCAGCTCATTCTTCTGCCTCCTTTTTCACACCATCTGAGCCTTCCTCCTTCCCCTCCCTTCCTCAGCTCTCCGTTGTTCCAGTGCCCTGCTGGTGATCACTGGTGGTGATGAAATACTTGGTGGCAACGTGAAGATGGCAGCACTGCTACACTTCTGCAAGCACCAGCAGAAGTGCCATGTTGCAGCCTGCAAGGAAGGGGAAGTTTCCCCAGCCTGGGTTGCTGCTGTGTTAGCCACAACTCTGCTTCTGGTAGTCCAGGATACTGTAGGCATCTTGTGCTGAAATGCTGCAGAGTAAGAGACCCTTCCAACTTGTTCGGAAGAACCGGCTGTTGCTCTGCTTTCTGCCAGGGGGTGTGTGTGTGAGCGATAATAGGTCGGCTGCACGAAGGGATCCGACAGGGGCACGCTGCACAGCACCTGCCGCTGTCAGCCAAGGTCTCAGCACACCCTGAAGTGGAGTGACATGTAATAATAATCCAAGGGGTGGCACTAAAACCCTGCAATCTGAGGCAGGTTAGGGCTTGAAGCTTTCTGGGGACAGAAACAGATGGTGAATGGTTGCTGCTTGATCTCTGGGGAATTGCCAGATCCTGGAGAGCAGAGGCCCCTGCAGAGGCAGCAGTGTTCACGCTCACCAGTAGCTCAGGCCCCATGGACCTGCCCAGCTGCCTGCTGAGGGTGTGGGAACAGTGCAGGCCCTTGGGGCCCATGCCAACACCTTCAACACAGTGACCTCTTAAACCTGCTGCAGATCCCATTTTTGGAGGTTTGGACTCTCAGGTCTTCTGAACTGTTCACGATAAAGTGCAATTTTTTTCCAACTCGCAACTTGAAATCCCGTCTGCAGATTGCCAGAAAGAACCATGTAGGGCTGAGACCTAGAGTGTCATGGCTTGAATGCTCCTGTTTCCTCCTGGGACCCCCGGAGAATCATCTGCACAAGAAAGCTGAAAAACTTCATTTGCAAGGTTTTGGAAGAATGAGAGTAGTAGTGAGAATTATTTTATAGGCTTGCCTTGTTCTTAGGGCATCACTTGTGGCCTTTCTTCTTTGCTTTTTTTAACTTACAGGTTTTGTTTTGTCATCTGTACAGCTCTTACGTGATGCAGTTGGGGTAAGTCCTGGCTTACTGGCTGTAAACAGTGTGTTACATTTTGGAGACAAGCGGTTGTGTTGTAGTTCCCTTGCTCAGCATCAGGCTTGATTACTGTGTCGGCCTCAGTTGCTGTTCGTCTTGACAGGCTGCTAGATCTGACTTTCCCTGGTCTTGGCATTAGCAGTGACTGCCAAGTGTTGGTACTTGCCGTTCCCCAGCCAACTCTGGTCATCAGGAACTTGAACTGCAGAACATGAAGTTTGTTGCAGGCAGAGCCTTGATGAGATGGAGCTATGGTCTAGGCCACTGGGTGTGGTTCAGGTCTTTACTCCTATACACAGACAGAAAAGCACGCTCGTGACCTAGATGTCGAGCTCACATCTTGCAGACTAGAGGTGGTGAATGGAGTTAAATCCAGCTGGGCCCATCACAAGTGGTGCTCCCCAGGGCTCAGTGCTGGGGCCAGTTCTGTTTAACATCTTTATCAGTGATCTGGATGCGGGGCCTGAGTGCACCCTCAGTAAATTTGCAGACACCACCAAGCTGGGTGGAAGTGTTGATCTGCTGGAGGGTAGGGAGGCTCTGCAGAAACATCCAGACAGACTTGATCAATGGGCCAAGACCCGTTACATGAGTTTCAATAAGGCCAAATGCCAAGTCCTGCACTTTGGCCACAACAACAGCGCTACAGGCCTGGGGAGGAGTGGCTGGAGAGCTGCCAGGCAGAGGGACCTGGGGGTGTTGATGGACAGCCGGCTGAACAGGAGCCAGCAGGGTGCCCAGGGGGACAAGAAGGCCAACGGCATCCTGGGCTGTGTCAGGAACAATGCCTGGCCTGTGTCAGGAACAATGTGGCCAGTAGGACCAGGGAAACGATTGTGCCCCTGTACTCGGCACTGGTGAGGCCACATCTTGAGTACTGTGTTAGTTTTGGGCCCCTCACGAGAAGAGGGACACTGAGGCACTGGAGTGTGTCCAGAAGGGAACAAAGCTGGCGAGGGGTCTAGAGCACAAGTCTTCTGAAGAGCAGCTGAGAGAACTGAGGTTCCCCAGCCTGGAGAAAAGGAGGCTGAAAGGAGATTGTAGAGAGGTGGGGATCGATCTGTTCAACCAAGTAACAAGAGGGAATGGCCTCAGGTTATGGCAAGGGAGGTTTAGATTGGAAATTAGCACGAATTTCTTTACTGGAAGGGTTATCAGGCATTGGAACAGATTGCCCAGGGTAGTGGTGGAGTTCCCTTTCCTGGAGGTATTTAAGAGTTGGGTAGACCTAGTGATTAGGAATATGGTTTAGTCTAGGGCTTGTCAGTATTAGGTTAATGATTGGACTCAATGATCTTAAAGGTCTTTTCAAATCTGGGCAATTCTGTGATTCTGCGACTACTAACTTGCCTAGAGCTATGGCTGCTGGGGGCTCTGTAATTTTTCTTTCTTTTTTTTTTTTTTTTTTGTAATATCCTTTTCCTTCTCAGTCAAAACATTTTTCCTTGAACGAAGTTTCCACTATCTTGACTGCCCTGCTTGTGATTAACATTTTAGCCTGTAATTATTTCTGGATGTTTTATGAAATCGTTCATTATGTATTCATGCCTATGATAAATTAAAAGGGATAGAGGAATTTTCCTATTACACTTCAGTCACCTTCCTTCTGAGGTGCAGTGTGTGAAAATTTGGGAGTCCTTTTCTCCACCACCTCTGCTGCTCTGTAGTCAATCTCCAGGCTGGCTGCTCACTGCTTTATCACCAATAGCTTCTGAGACCTGACCTGCTGCCTGCTTCTCCCGCAGGGTTATGTGACTTTGGAAGCTTATGACCCATCAGAGTATGATCCGTTTTTCCTGAAGACGCATACAGACTGCTGGAAGGTGGGATGGTTATTTACAATGTAAGGTTTAGAGACACCCTTTGACCAGCAGGAAGTTAATGGTTAGAGAGAAGGCGGCACGTGTTACTGATGTGCTGCTGTGGGGCTGGTGTAGAGAGACACGTTCTAGTTTTATTAATTAAACAAAAATGGGGCCCAGCTTCTACTGCATTTAAGCCCAAGAGCATTTGAAAATGGTTTTCATCAGGAGCATGGTTAGGATTCATACCACGCCTAGATTTGGAGGCACAGTAGGAAGTGGGAGCGGGAGAGGTTTTTTTTTTTCCTATCTCAAATTCATTGTGGCAGTGGGCGAAGTATCTTGTCTACCGAGGGTCAGTGAGCTCCCAGGCAAGCCAGGTGTGTGTGCTCTGTAGAAGGAAATAATCTGACAGGTCAGATGATCTTTACAGAAGCTCACTCAAACACACCTTGGGTATCTTGCATACCTAACAGACGACTTAGGTAGGACTTGGGCACGAATCTGTGAAGTGCAATTCTCTAAATCCCCTCCGGATGCCCTGAGCCCTCAGCACCTGTGGGGACTGAGCTGATGCTTCCTTGCAATGTGCCACGCAGGGTTCCTCAAGATCAGCTCCCTCCAGGAGATCAGATCTAGTGTCTCTGGGTTAACCTTGAGGCAGAGTCATCGAATATGTTATGGCCTTCCTTAGGAGATGAGATGCTCAGCATTTCCCAGGCCCTGTGGTTTTATTCATAAAAAATGAGGTTTGTGTTCCTTCCCTGCTAACCAAGAGTACCCTGACACTGACCTCTGACCATGGTCTTTTGAGACTCTGATGAAGTGCTTGTGTTGGTGCGTAAGCATGAAATAACTGTCTCTGTCGCAGGTTTCAGTACCAACTTTACAGGATCCTCTCTTAAAAGGCATTCAAAGAAAGTTTATTGAGACAGGCATTATCAAGCAGTGCGAGACAGGTATTTTGAACAATTGGAATCCCTTGGAAGCGTTTTATGTTGGGCGGCCACCCTCGCTTGTGACAGTAGCTCCTCACACGAAGCGCTTGTTACTTTCCTGCCAGGAAGACCGTACTCCACCAGAGAGCTGAACAAACTCCATAAAGCAGAACTGCTGCTTCCTTTGAGCCGGCAGCGGATGGATGCGACTGAGTGGCTGAAGATACCACACGCCTACATTGCTAGTGAGGTCCACCGAACGAAGAGGTACGAGCTGATGGGTTGTTTGAGAGGCAGCACAACAGCTACGCTGGATAAAGCCTCTTCTTCTTGGCTGCATAGCAGAGTATTTGCTAAAACTTCAGTTTCAGGGTGAATTCTGCTTTACTGTGTACTTTTCTTGAGAAAGGAGGGAAGGCCTTCAGGTACGGAGTGGACAAGATGTATGGAAGTAGGGCATTGATGGTCAAGCTGAGCCTTGAAATAAAGTGGCTTTAGGGTGGGGAGTTTCCTGCCTTTTCTGCATGCAGCCTGGCAGCCAGCCATGGAGTACCTCTGAGGTGCTTTCCTTGAAGAGCTGAGAGATTTAATATTCATACTTGCTTTGGTTGGTTTTTTTGTGTTTTGTTTTTTTCCCCTGTTAGTTTCTAGGTTTTGGGAGCAGAGTGAGGTCATACTTCTGTCACAGACTAGTTGAGGTTGGAAGGGACCTCTGGAAGTCATCTTGTCCAACCTCCCCTGCTCAAGCAGGGCCACCTAGGGCCAGGTGCCCAGGGCCGCGTCCAGATGGCTTCTTGAATATCTCTGAGGATGGAGACTCTACAACCTCCTGGGCACCCCGTGCCCATTCTTTGTCACCTTCACAGTAGAAAACTACTGTTTCCTGATGTTCAAATGCACTTCCTCTGTTTCAGTGTGTGCTTGTGGCCTCTGGCCCTGTCACTGGGCAGCACCGAAAAGTGCCTGGCTCTGTCCTCTTTGTACCCCCCCTTCAGGTGTTTTCTTTAGGTGTACAGGCTGGTAGGACTCGAAATGCTGAAGAGATCACTAGTGGTGAGTTGAACTGGAGCAGGGATGCTAAGTTAAGAACACTAGAGAGCCCCAGCTGGCCTGCCCTGAGGGAAAAGCATTTGGGACCAGTGTGATTTTTTTTTATTTTTTTTTTTTTTAAAATAAGACGTTGGTGATTTTTTTAAGTCCCAGTGCTCTGATTCACCCTTTTGGGAAGCTTGCTGGTTGTGCCATTGCAGTACGCAACACTTAAGGGGATTCCCGCTTCCTAGTGACAGAAACATCAAAGCTGAACTGGGAGCCCGATGGCTACTGGAACTGGGCCCACACTCTTACCCGCGGCTCCTGCCCTAGAGTTTTATGCCCCTTACTGGCCCAATGCTTTACTTTAGCGTATTTATGGGATAACGGCACATTTTACACGGAAAACGGGCCACCAAGACAAACATTTCCTGGAGTGACTCAGTCTGGGAAAGAGCTAGTGTGGAAACTGTGCTGGGCTACAGCTGCCTTCGTGTCACATGGACTGGTGATCGTTTTTGCTTCTCTGTTTAAAGGCAGAAAGTCATCAGCCACCAGAAAGACGGCGAGAGCTGATGATGTCCCCTGTCCTCCAGCCGACTGCAGCAGCAAGCACAGCCCTCGGAAGGTACCATTTGCAAAATTCCTTGTGTCTTCTGCCAGAGTGAGTGCTAATGGGTCGGGTCTCCTGGCAAATGGCAATAAACTCGTTGATTCAAACGTGTTCTGAGGTGCTGTCACCCAGCAGCCAGGGTGAGATGCTGCTCCTGTTATTTCCAGCTCCAGTCCATGCTCTACAGGCCAGAAATCTACTGTTGTAGGAGGTTTAACTTAGGCTCCGCCCTGCAAAGAAAGTGCTGATATTCTCTGTTTTTAGAGGGTGATGGAGTCTTTGTATTAAAGGAGATCAACTGGTGAGAAAATTTAAAGAGGTCTGCTGGGCCCCTTGTCAGTGCAGTGCAGGATCTGTGCGTCCCCAGCTGTGACAACAGCTACAGCTCTGAGTGCCCTGAATTTTTTGTTACAAGGGGAGTTAATGTCAGCAGTGGGCAGAGGAAACTGCAAAGCTTGCAGAATTTTAGCTAGAGCTGTTGCATTTTTGCATGAAGCTGAAAGAGTTCACCTTCAGATTTAAGAACAAACCCTCTCTTTGAAGGAGAAGGAGGTGCTTCTGGCTACATCATGGAGCAGATGTGTGCAGAAGAGCCGCTTAGAAAGCACTGAGAAGGAAATAATGATTTGATTTTGTTAGTTCAAATCTTTATCAGAACTCCCCTAGCGAATGGCCCACAAAATATTATGTCCAAAATAATATTAGGGTACTACCCACGGTTTCAAAGGACTTTCTCCTGGAAGCAGCGTACCAGCAAACTTTAACAATACACAGTGATTGCTCTGAGGAGGCAGGAGCTATTTAGGGGATACGTTCAGTGTTCTCTCGTACAAAATGTGTAGAGCTTTTCAGAGTCAGCACTGAGCAACACGTGCTGGCAGGGCCCTACAAATAACTTTTTCTCTCTTGTTCCCGTCTTCCTGCACAGCAGTTCTGGTGTCAAAGCCTGGAAATGGAATTTCTTCTATGCTGTACAGACACAATCTCACAAGAGTGGCCAAGATTTAGTTTTATTTAGGATTAGAAATACTGAACCACAGAAAACTGTTAAAACAGAGGCTGACTCAGCAGTGTGACAGGAGGGTACCCAGAGGGCAGCTGGGTGAAACCATCAGGGGGCAGGAGGTTTTGCTGCGCCCCAGGGGAAAACAAGGGCACAGGCTGCTCAGAATTGGATGCTGTGCTTTTCCAACAAAGCAGTTTAAGGAGGCAGTAAAATGGTTACAATATATCAAACCCTTTATAAACAAACTCTGTTTTCTTTAACCGTCCCTGATTTTGGTGCAGAGAGGAAGTTTTTGCTCTCAACCAATCTCACTTGACAAACTTGGGGTGACAGTTTCCCCGAGCAAACCTTTTAAACATGTAATAAACTTTTCTTAAATTTAATCCTGTAAGTTTTTCTCATTATTTCACATTCGCCTGTACAATAAAATATATTTTTTAAAAATCACTATGCATCGATAAACATCTGTAGACAAATTACATTAATAAACTTATATTTTACTCTCTATATACATGTTGGCAATGTCAAAGCTTCAAGATTCACATGGAGGTCTGCAAGACCAGGGAAATGTACATAAATAACTTACATTTAGGAAAAAAAAACAAACAAAAGCTGAAGAGTATTTGTCCACATTATTGTGGGTCACAGTATTTAAATTTTTTTTTCTAGTTATTCTTCACAACCACATTGTCTCAGCAGAGAGTGATGAACCAAACTTGAAGCAGAAAGAAAAATCAAGTAGCAGCTGCTGATTTCAGTGCAGAACTAAGTCAAGTAAAGAACTACACTTGATTCTTAGAGAATATACAATATAGCGGAGACTTTTCCAGTGCTAAGGCTTCTTCAGCATTTCATCTTTAAAACTATCATCCTGAGATGGGAAGATTCCAGTGGATATCACTTCTCAGATTTCAAATGGAATGATTCTAGTGCTGAGCTTAAACCATTCCTCAGTCTATACGTTAGACCAAGTGGTAAAATACACGTATATCTTGATGCCACATTTCTACTTAATACTTTTATGGCCCTGAACATGGAAATATTGGCATCCAAATGTGAGATATGTCAACATAATAAAAAGGCACTGAGCTATAAGTACTATATATACAGTAACATTTGTGTTTGCATAGATCAACAAGAACTTTGAATGCTGCAAAGAACTAAATGCAACCACTAACCGAGAGGAAATATGGAAGCAGCAGGAACTCCTGCTTAATAACCAGCATGGGGGAAGGAATCTTTTTTAAAAAAAAATGTTGAGGCTGTCAGCTTCATTTTTCCTTCATAAATTAGAAAAAAAAAAAATGTTCTTAGAGGAGTGTTTTCTGATCGAAGAGCTGCAGGTCAAAACGGACCCAGACTTCTCCTGTTGGAACTTCATGCAGCAGTAAGTGTTTAGTCGTGGGGCCTTTGCTTTCTTGTTCCATTCTAATTTTTGCTACTGGAACTTCAGTGCGACCCAAAAAATCTGTTGAGAAAGTGAGTAAGAAATTTCATGGAGCAAAAACGTTAACCTCAGAAAATCTGAAAGCATCAGGTTAAGCAACAATGCTGCACAGGATGAGTCAGTTCCAGAGCACTGCTCCCAAGCTTCCTGTTTGACTCGCCCTCAGCCCTGTGTAACTCAGCCAGCAGTGACAAAAAAATGTGGTTTTAGAAGAGAAAAATGCTATGGAATTGGTATGGAAAACATGCCTGTATGTAACAGTTGGATCTAAGGGCTTTAAAAATATGGTGGCTCCCTTTCAGAGACACAATTTTGAAAGTTCTCCTCTTTCAGAGCTGGAAGGTCTGAGCTATGGAACCTGTTTACAAGCCAGCTGTGGTGCTACAAAGACAATTAAAAAACCCTTGGCTCAGTCAAGTTTTAAATAGGCTGATATATCATTCTTTTCACAAGAACAATGACCTTGAACAATTACTGCCACTAGTAGGTTTACAGTCCAATTCAGAAATGATATAACCTCTTTGTGGCCATTTCATATATAACATTTGTGTGTGTGTGCATGAAAAGCTTTGCTGTGCACTGCGAAAACGGCGGACTCGGCTGTCCACCGGGACACTCGGCTGTCCAGCTGGGAGAAGCAGCCCAGCAAAGTCACCTTTTACCTTACAGCAGAGTGAGCAACTCAGGGCAACTCAGGGCAAATCTGCAATAATCGAATGTGTATCGGAGCCCTGATGAAGCACCTTGCCTTTTAAAAAGTACCAGAAGCAACTGACTGCCAAAAATGTGTTCAGCTTCCAAGAAATAAATGAAAAAAAAAAATGTTTATCACACTGCTGCTGTGCAGTTATAACCTAGCACCTCATTTTGGGCACCTATAGTGAAAGAGAGGAACTGCTTTCAACTTCTCTGTCTCCCTAGTCTGACCAAAATAAATAAATAAATTCTATGTCTGATACCAAAGCCAGAATGGGATCAAACCTGACTACCCAGAGCTATTGGCTCTGGAGGGGCTACTGAACCTCTTGAGTGAGGAGCCACGTTGTGTAAAATGTTTTTAAGTACCATTTCTCAGGAAGCAATCGCACCTACAGGCTCTTGGAACTGCTGGGGAGTAGCTGTGTTCCTCAAGTCACAAAAAAAGCATTCTTTTTCCTTTCACGAATGTTAGCACTTACCATCAGGAGAGAACTGATCCCTGTCGAACATGGTGATGCACAGGACATCCTGATACAGATCCTTAATGAAGAACTGGCAGTTGAAGTTCCACTTGGGGTTCAAGGTGTCCTGCAGGGTCCTCGTAGTGTAGCTCTGGGAGCCCATGCTGATCTCACAGTACGGGTTGCTCTTCCCTAAACACAGAACAGAGCAATGAAACGCCTCTGCAGCGCAGAAACCTCCCTCCCCGTCTGGAGGCTGCACGGACACGCATCGACACTGCTGCCCAGAAGCTGTGGGTCAGGCAACCCCTACATCCTAGAGCGGCACGGAGCTGGTTCTCCTCTCAGTCCTCTGAGGCTAAATAATGGCTAATTTGTCGAGAAGCTGTAGCTGAAACTGCTTCCCAAACCACCACACTCCTTCCAGTCAGCCTTTCTAAACGGAGCAGAAATACAGCAGTTTGACACTATTTCCTTCACTCACCATTGGGCTTACAGGCCTTCAGTTCTGTTGCTTCAATCACATGCACCATCAAGCGTCCTATTCCTGAGGTTTTTTGTAAGCGAGCTGGGAATGAAAAGTCACAAATAAACGCACTGGCTGCAACTGTAAAAACTGCCACTAGATCCAAAGAGGGAGATCCCGCAGAGACACTGTGACATCCTCCAGAAGAGGCGCTGCCCACGTGTCCACGTGGACGAGAGGGAAATACAGAACTCGGAAGGTACCTTGATAAGCCTTTTCACGTTTCTTCTTCTCAGTTTCGATGTACTGCTCTGACGCCGCTTTGATTTTCTGGACCCAGGCAGTCCTGCAAAGAGCAATCCCTATGGTCAGGGCTGTATCACGGGCAGGAAATTTCTTGAGTATCAGCAACTCTGCCCCAATCTGTTTTGCCATTCCCCCCCATCCCCCACGGGGTTTCAGAGGCACCACAAATCAAGTTAGTTCAAGGACTAAAGCGATGGAGTTTTTGGATTTAATCTCACGCCACATTTCCACATCAGTCTAAATAAATGAAAGTGGAGCTGCTGTTTTTATTGAAGACTGCTGGGTCACACCAAAGCCTGACCGGGACTGGGAAAGAATCCTATGGGATGCTGGACTTCACAGCCTTAAACCATTCTTCTATACAATCGTAACACTGAGGAGCAGTAGATGTGACTGGATTCCACTGCAAGAGCTGCCACACGACCACAACAACGTCACAGAAAACTTGTAACTCAAATGAGAGTCAAATGAGTGTATTTCCTGACCAAGAGGACCAAATCCTGTTCTTGAACTCAGGCACCACCGTGTCTGCTCACTGGAAACAGCCCACAGCCATGCCCAACAAGTTTAAGCTCAGATCTGCGTTTTCACTACTCACCGCTCATTAATGTTGTCAGTTTTAAGTGTGTAAACTCTGTCAATGTGTGATATGTGGAAAACTGGCTCGTCACTTGAGGGGTCTGTGGGCAGTTTCACTAGGACTTCATTAAGGAAAACGGGCTGAAAGAAAAGCAAACATCACTGTGGCAGCAACACCCAGACAACAAGCGGAACTGCAAGGACGTTTAAATACATTGTTTTACTGCAGGGAAAGTGAAAGTGTGGGGCACAGGACCAACAGTCAGATCATCGTGTAAAGGATGTGAGAAGGGGCTGAGAGAAAAACTGCTCTGGTGATACAGAATCACAGAATACACCCCATTCCCCAAGAGCTTTGGGAAAGGGGCAGGACTGCGCAAGCAGAGCTGCAGTTCAAGCTTTGAAATCCTGGGAATCTCTCAGTTCCCTGATAATTATCTCCCAACTCCAGCGTCCTGAGACTGTGTGGACACAGAGACTGAAGGTTTGCACCTTTTACTGTTTTCTAAAGGAAAGTAAATATTTTCTTTTGGATGCAGGAACTTGTGCAAACTTAAGTTAAGGCTCCTGCTTCTTAACATCCCCCTCAGCTCCTCAGGCACGATGCTATCTCTGCCCTTTCACCCCAAAGTGGGTGGAGGCATTTCTTAAACCAAGACACAGAAGCCTGTCCTTCTCTGGGGACTAAGCCAAGGACATTCCTGCATGTGCCTCTGTGACAGCAAATGATCAGATGGGGCCGAGACGGCTAATCCCAGCAGAGAGAAAAGCATTCCTCATCAGAAGCCGGGTCCCACTGCATCAGCATGACCACGGGGCACCTCAGCTCACTCACCATTTTATACATTTTGAACTGGGAGTTGGATTTGGGGCTGAACAGTTTGTCGGAGCCGGAAGACACGAACTGTTTAACCATGTAGGTGAGCAGGAGGAAGTCGTTGAAAAGGAAGCCGTACAGCTCCTTGCTGCTCTTGGCCTTGTACAACTTGCCGCTGTGCAGGAGCTTCCGCGGTCCCAAACAGTTTGTGAGGGAGTTGAACACAGGTTGCTAGGAGAGACAACACCCATGAGCTAATGCAGGCACCAGTTCCTGCTCCTCTTCCCGGTGGAGATCGCTCAAGCTGCTCAAAATGCTCTTGTTTAACACGTGAAGAGAAGGGCAACTTTTATGATCTGTCATGGTACCAGCACTACTCCCAACTTAAAGCAGATTTAAGCTTTACCAACAACACACACAGGGGCTGGCTGAAGGCATTTACCTCACGGCCACTTTTCTGTTGTCCAGAAGCTGTGCTTAAGTAGAGCCTGCCGAGTTTGCAGCTGGGTCACCTCTTAGGGGAGCTCAATCAGGTGATGGAACTAGGACAGGTCCAGTCAAGCCCTGGTTCCTTATTCAGCCAGTGGAGAACTGTCACAACACCTCATTTTGAAGGCTGTCCTGACAGGTACAGGAGCCTGCACCCCACAGACCTCTGAGGAACTACCGCTCAGGGCACCGGTGCCCCTTCTGCCTGAAGTAAACCCTGGGAAACACACACGAAGTGAAATTTCCCAGAGGAACGCTTGACTTAGCCCAGTGGCAGGATGAGCAGAATGTCAGAGATAAGGAATTATTTCTGTTTGTTTAACGGTTTAAATGGTATCAGCTTTAAGCTGATAAATCAAGATTCCTCCACCTCCAAAATCATGCAGAAACGAGGGCTCATAACATTACAGCTGCGAGCAGAATTTAATAAAAGCTTCTCTGCCAAGAGCTCAGCAGTGGGTCACGTCCCAGTAATGGATGTGAGCAAGGACTCCCACTCCCTCCCCTGGTGGGAAAAGCCCCCGCCGCACAGCGCAACACCGCCGTTACCTCTGCGAGGCCTTCGCACTGGACGTGGGACTGTATCCACTCCAGTCTGTCCGAATTCTCTTTCTCACGCACCCCTTCGTTAACCTGAGAGCACAGCTCCTCCGCACGCTCCAAGGCAAGCCTGAGGTTACTGTGATCGGGGTGATTTTCTGGAGTGTTCTCTAGAATCTGGTAAGGAGCAGAAAGGGGAAGAAACAGGACACAAATGTAGGTAAGTGCAGGTATTCCTTCCTCACGCTCACAGAGAAATCCCCATAAAGGGACAAGGTGGTTTTTTTCGCTTTTGCTATCGAGATGGAATTCAAAAGCATGCACGTACGAAACCTTGCTTTGGGTACTCACACTCTTTATGAGCAGAGGGTAGCGGGTTATTCTTTGCATAGGTTTCAGGAGGAAACTGGAGAGAGGCATTCCTTTGCAGCGAGGGTCCAAGGCAAGTTTCTACGGCGCAACCCAGAGATTTAAAAGAGACATTGCATTATTCATCAGGAAATAGTTGCCTCAGCGCACTAAAAACTGTCTGAGTAGATTAATTTTTCCAGGCATTCCAAGGAATCTCAGGCTTTTCGGTAAGCAAATACTTGTATTTAGAACAAACAGGGAAGCCGGAGCTGTCATTGTACCCAAACGCCTTGCCAGCATCAGCTGCAGGATCATTGTACACGCAGAATCATAGAAACATCAAGGCTGGAAAGGACCTTAAGATCATCAGGTGCAACCTACAGCCCTACATCACCCTAATACTAAACCACATCCTGAAGTGCCACATCCAGCCGGTTTTTAAACACGTCCAGGAACGGTGACTGCACCACCTCCTTTGGCAACTCATTCCAGTGCTTCACCACCCCTTCGGTGAAGAAGTTTTTCCTAATATCCAATCTAAACTTCCCCTGGAGCAACTTGAACCTGTTCCCTCTTGTCCTGTCGCTATTCACTGAGGAGAAGAGGCCAACACCCATCTCACTACAGGTGCCTGTCAGGGAGTTGTAGGGAGTAATAAGGTCTCCCCTCCTTACATTCAAAACCGTTCCAGCTTTTCTTTTGACATTACAGGCTCTGCTCAGGTTGAAAAGAAAAAAACACAAACCACAAAGCAATGAAAGAAACAAATGTCTGACGTCAACAGTTCTGGCATTCCTCCTTTCAGGGCCTCAACGTCACCGCCTCAGCTGTGGTGTGGCACCAATTCCTTATCTATTTCTGCAGGGTGCCTGCCTGCCATGCTTGGGGCACAACCCCGGCCCCGGCTGCAACCCCACCCTTGGGACACAGCACACGTCCTGCTGAGCTGTGAGCATGTTCTGAACAACAGCTTTTCTCCTCTAACTCCACAGACTCTTATCCCTTCTGATAGCACAAATTTTTGGGAAGTTGCAGGCGTCAGCACCGCCGCTTTGCGAGGTTAGCGTTACACTGAAGTAATGAGCAACGGAATGGGAAATGGAGCAATAAAGTAGCTAGAGAGAAAGACAAAGCGTTAACCATGGCCATCATATAAATACACCTCGCAAGGTTCTTAGATGTTTTTGCAAGATTTTACTCTTCTCGGTTATTCTGAACTGGCTGACGCTGGTTAGACGGGCTCCTGTCACTGAAGGAAAGGAGAAGGCAGAAAAGCTACCGAGTAAGATACCTTTAAGTAGTCTTTGAAATCAGCATCTTCATCGGTTTTCTGCTGCAGCAAGGAAGCTCCGTTCAGCTGGCAGCTGCAGAACCGAATGTAGGCCTGCATGTGAGAGAGCTCCGCCGCTAAGATGTCCCCGATCATCTGCACCGGCATCTTTTCTCCTCCTGTTTTCTTACGCACTCGCAAGGCTCTGAAGAGCAAAGGAAACCACCCTTCAACTTTGCTGCCACGTCTGCAGGGCTTAAATCAACATCCATCTTTTGAAAGGATGAAAGCCTGCCAGGTGAGTTCCCTTATGCAGCACAGGGCGGGTCGAGCCTGGACTCCCGGGAAGTCACCGGCACAACACGCAAAGCTGAACCAGCTGCCTGGTGGGGTCAGTGGGACCGAGCCCCTCCTCTGAGGTTTCTGAGACAATTGGCATCAGTCTCTACATTCAACTAATGTCCCATTTCAGAGATATATTAGCCACTTTGTGTCTCCCAAGTTTATTTTCAGAGAATATTTGCTTTGCAGAGAACTGGGAAGAACGCCTCCTGTGCACAGGCTTCTGTGTAGGATCTACTTCTAAGGTATTACAGCAAATGTGCATCTGTTCTTGCTGCTTATTTGCTCCCTTGTAACAAGGCCTTCTTTGTGAGCTAGTCCGAATGCATTTAGCTGATTTGAACCCATGCATGCACAGGAGCTAATCAGCAAGGACAGAAACGTTTCCTGTAGTAACAGAAAACTTCCTGGGGAAAGGAACAAGCGAATAAAGACAAAGAGGAAATCATAACAATGCAGGTAAGTACTCACTTTAGTAACTTTGTATTTGACATGATGAGATCCTTCCAGTTAACAAAAATCAGCCCCATTTCTCCTTCTGTGAGACAGCCTGAATCAGCCATCGGTTTTTGGAAAACCTGCAGCCAAAAAATCGTAAAGGTGAACAATTCTTCAGACAAAAGCAGCTCAGCCTCTGGTTTAGCTGAGCAATGATTTTGCTTTATTTCAACTGCTCAGTGTCCAATTTCTCAGAAGTTAAAACTGATTCCTTTCAGGCACTTGTGACAGCTGTCACTGTTTTCCCAAAGTACCTTCTTCTGACACCAACACCACCACTGGCAAAGCAGGGACAAGCACTGGGACCTGACTGTTCAGCGGAGGAGCATTCCCACGATTTTGGAGTCAACTGCTGCACAAATTACCCTCACGCATCAGGCCTACCCCATACCCAGAGCACTCGTAGCCAACCTGTGTGCAGACCTGCGGCTTCTTTCAGGGGCCCTTGGCACAAACTCTCTGCACAGCAGAAGACTGGTGTAACTCAGACTATTCAACATCTTTACACTTCACCACACAGTTATTTTATCTAGAGAGGTCAGGCTGGACACCCAAGATCACCCAATGGCAGCCAGTTCCTGCCCGGCCTAGTGAGGTGCTCCTGCTTCCAGAAATAAAATTGGAGATGAAGGCACACGATAAACTTTTATGGTGCTTATACAGCTTCTGTGCCATAGAAACTGGCTGTGCAGCTCTGCTAGACACCCTGGCCCAGCCCAGCGGGTCCAAACACTGAACAACAGGACTCGGAAAGTAGGAAGGTCCTAAGACGATGGCTTTTACAACGTGACATTTTTGCCTCGTGGCAAGCACGTAACGTTTGCTAGAAAGGGAGGCGCTCACACACCTCTCCTCCTCTAGCACTTCACAATTCACAAGAATCCTGAACTCTTAGTATTCAGAAGGACAGAGATGTTCTTCCAAACGCCTTTTCAGATCCAAGAGTTCTCACCTCTAAGACGAGCTGGAGATCGTCCATATACCTTTCTTCCGTCTGAATGAGCTCGTGGATGTAGCCCTGCCTTTTCCTTTCCATGGGCTGCATAGTGTCAAGGCTCTGGAGATCAGCACACCCTACAAGAAGGAAGCCAGCAGTTCAGATCCCACTCAGGCCCACTGGATCTCAAGAATTAACAAAATTGCACCAATATAGGCCAGTCTACAGTTCACACTACACATACGGCGGTAAAACCCTGCCCAGAGCAGCAGTAGGTTTCAAAATCAAGCGATGTAGCGATCGGCCCCCTCCCCCCTTTATGAAAATTTTTAGTCTGTCACCTTTTTATTTCTTCGAACACCCCTTCTTCTTGTACTGTAACCCAGAATAAGAAATCCTGGCTTCCTGCCACTCTGTTTGCTCACAATTTATCTCATCTCTTTTTCTGCCATATTCGAAACCATGATTTTCTCTTACCTTGGGCAATATCTTTTGTGAGATGAAGTCATCTAAAATGCATCTGGTTCTGACTTGGGACATTCCACCTTTAATCTCCACCCCATTTCTAAAGTAGCCTTGGTTATTAATTTATGACACAAACCACCGGTGCAAATATATAGTTATAACACATAATGTTATAGTTGCATAACTCCACAGTTGCACAACCTATTTTCTCATTCAGAAGCAAAATGAGCCTGAAATAGGTCGAATTATTTTTATGCGTCAAGTATGAATAATCAAAATCGTGCACAGGACGACAGACACTCAATGACACAAAGCCCCAGGCTTTCTGTAAGGACATGCAGACCCCTGCAGCTTCACACTGCTGCTTCTCTACTGTATGTACATGTTAGTAAGTCTGAAATTTAGTAACCAAATCAAAAACTGGTGAAAACAAAGTGGTGACTGTGTTTAGGGGGTAAAGGAGAGCACAGAAAGTCCAACTCTGATCCCTCCGTTAGCCGTCACACGCCAGCAGAGCACTGCAAAAGTAGCAGCAGGGTGGGGGAAAGTAAATGATTTAGAAAAAAGAAACAATTGCAGAGCGTTTGAGAACACTTGATGTGACAGCGTCAGATTTTAATGCAACGTGACCTGTGGATTTTGCAGGATAGCAGGAAGGACGTCACAGGGACTCATTTAGATCCGGCATTTCTAGAGGAACGACACTGTAGGAAAGTTTACAGATGGTGTGAAAGGCAGCGCGACCTACGGCACGACGGGCTGCCCCCCCTCGCCACCCTAACACACCCAGGCCAACAGAATGTGACTTCATTCTATCTGCTGACAACGTACAGATCTGTTCTAGGGGATGACTGCTCTAAATAATGACATGAAAATGAGTCAGGAATAAATCTGGACCAAAAAACCCACCAAGGACCACTACATAAACATTTGGCTAAACTTGGTGTGGCAACTGGAGCCTCCCAGGCTTATGCTTTTTCCACGGGACAGGCATCCTTCAGCAAAAGAGAAATACCAGCAAAATGAAGTTTTATGATACCATTGGAAGTATTTTAACAGGGGAACCCTTTGAACCACACAAAGAAGTAAAACAGTAAAGGTGAAAGTGACATTTAAAATCAGGACCTTTCAGTTCTGTTTTGTATCCCTAAAGGGGATTGCTGATCTTCAGCTTTTTGGCAAGATTTGAAAAAAAATGCCACTTTTTATGAAGAGACCTGGGACTGCTCCTCTTTTGATTGTGCAGAACGAACGCTGCTTCTGGCCTTAGTTATTCCCAAAGTTACAATCAAGCCAAAATCAGATGGGAGAAAGGAGTAAGGTTACAGATCGAAGCAGCTCAATCCATCACGATGGACTGCGGCCAGTGTGTGCTACTCCTGAGTTCCAGTGTCATTCTTTAGTCTGTACAGGACAGAGCACAAGCCCACCTGGTTCCTGAGACATGAAATTTTAGGGCAATCAAGGGCTTGCACAGAAACCAGACTTTACTGGTCCAGATCTGGAAGTCTCAGCTTTGACCACCCAGTTCTCTTCTCTACCGCAGAGGACACCCCCGCAACACCAGCACGGACGGGTGGACTGATGCTCCCCGTCACCGCTTGCTTCCATCCCACCTGTCAGAACCCCCCAGACCCTCGGATTTGTGTCCATTCCGTGCTGTCTGCTTAAAGCTGAAGAAAATTCTGGATGGAAAACTGGTCCTTTTTTATGCACCTAAAGTAGGTTTGGTTTCTAAGCTCATTCTCAGACACAAAAATGCAGGCAAATCAATTGGCTCCTGCACTAACCTTGTTTTCAGACTGTTGGCTTTTGGCACGAGCAGATGAGTACAATTTTATATTGAAACAAGCCCTAGTGAAATTTCGATGGCTCTGATGATACCGGCATGAAAACAGAGTATGCGATCCCCAGACTGATTTTAGAGAGTGACTTTAGGCATTTGGATCTGAAAGGAAGGAATGCGAACAAGACGGAAAACAAACCAACCTACCTAGTTGTCCCGGTTTCAGTTGGGATAGAGCTAATTTTCTTTTCTTCTTAGGAGCTTGCTTCTTAGCAGCCAGCATAGTGCCGCCTTTTGGATCTGGTACAAGATGAATGCTGATAACACACTGACATTTTCAGTTGTTGCTAAGGAATCAAGGACTTTCCAATCTTGCGTGTTTTGCTAGCGTGCAGGAGCACAAGAAGCTGGGAGGGAGCACAGCCAGGACAGCTGACTCGAACTAGTCAAAGAGATATTCTGTAGGGCTATTCCGAACCATGGGACGGGACGTCACGCTCGGTAAATAATAGGTGAGGGGGGGGCTGGCATCGCTGCTTGAGCAGGTGCTGAGCAACTGCATCGTGCATCTTTCATCCTACTCTTGGGCTTTACTTCTCTGTTTCTTTTTGTTATATTCTTTTTCATTACAATTAGTATTATGTTATTATTATTGCTTATTATTTTTTATTATTATTGTATTTATTATTTATTATTGCTTATTATTTTTTTTTTAGCTATTAAGTTGTTCTTGACCTAAGCTGTGAGTGTTCTCCTTTTCCTGCTCTCCTCCCCATCCCACTGGGAGGTGGCAGGAGCGAGCAGCTGCGTGAGGTTTAGTTGCCAGCTGGGCTTAAACCACGACAGGAGTGCTTTTCCTGATGTTTTTCTCAAAGTGGCCACAGCAACCCCGGGGCTTGCGGGGACAAAGAGGCTGGACCCACATCTCCACCTGTTCTGCTCCCACATCCCTGTTCCCTCCTTTGCTTGCATCGGTTCTGGCACTCTTCTGACTCCCAGCTCACATGCTGGCAACAAATGAATCCCAAGGGGTGGGAAAGAAAACAGTAGTTTTCTGCTGGTTTAGCAGCCAGGAATGCGCATGGAAGCAGTAAAACTGCCTTTTTTGGCAGTGGAAAGCTGTCATTTTGATTTCCGCCTTGTGAAGCTTCATCCCAAGCTCCCCACAGGAAAAGCAGCAAGATTTTGGGGAGTGCCTGCCCAGGGACGCCTCGGCTGCCCACGCTGGGGGCTCACCTCCCCGTGCTGACTATGTAAGAGGTTTTACATCACGTTTGGAGCGCAAGCCCTCTTCCAGCGAGAGCAGGGGACTGCCAGGCTGTTCAGACAGGCTGGGGCATGACCTGCCAGCTCCCACCCGAGAACACCAAACTGGGCAAGCTGTGGGTGCCTGGGACCTTGGAAACTTAGGGTGCGATAAGAGAGCGATGCCTTCCACAATTATCGTGCCTTTTGTGATAAGTCCTGCTCTCCGAGACGAGGAAGCAGCTGTCTCGCAAGGGCAGGGTAAAACCAGCTGGAGAGTTCACAAACAGGAAATCCCAGTCTCCGAAGTTATGGTTAAAATTATACTTCCCTCTCCAAATACACCTGAACAAGAAATACTTTCTTGCTACTAACATAACTAACCCTGCAGGAAAAACAACCGAGGTTCACAGTTGGAAGATGTTCTACTCTGCAGGAGATTCAAATGTCTGGAAAACATGGCGGGCTGGGAGACAAAACTCTTCCAATTACTGATCCAGTTTGGGTTTGAGTAAGTTCAAGGGGAAGAATGACACTTTCTGAAGAAATCCTCCAGCCAAAGATGAATAAGACCTAGCATCATTCAAAAAAAAACCCTCCATTTTCTTTTCCTTTGTTACAAAAGGGGGAGGACTTTAAAATTCTTCACTTAAAAGCAAATTCCGGAGAATTCAGATAAAAATCCAGATGGATAAAAGGCTTTCAAAGACATCCAGACGTGCCTGGGCACCAAGCGCTTCATCCCTTTCCACAACAAAATTCCCTGCTCAGCAATAAAAAAGCACATGAAAAAGAACAGCCCTGGCGAGGTATCTCGAGCCTCAAACACAAGCTCAACACTTGTCCTGCAGGACCTGTGTATACCAGAGGCTTCACTGCACTGAGTCTCCCCTTAAGGCTATTGAGGGTTAGTGGTGGCCGATATAAACTGTGTGTGTAAGAGAACAGCTTGGTTTGGTTTGGGGCTTCGAGGAGGGAGGTGTTCGGTTGTGGGTTGTTTGAGTGTTTTTTAATTTCTGTTCACTTAATTTTTGTTTGTTTCTTTCTTTAGCTCAAGCCCATGAGCCAGCAATGTGCTCTTGTTGCAAGAAGGCCAATGGTATCCTGGGCTGCATCAAAGCCAGTGTGGCCAGTAGGCTAAGGGAAGTCATCCTGCCCTGGTGAGGCCACATCTGGAATACTGGGGCCAGTTCTGAGCTCCCTGGTGTAAGAAGGACAGGGAACTACTGGGGAGAGTCCATCAGAGGGCAAGAAAGATGACTGAGGGACTGGAGCATCTCTCGGGTGAGGAAAGGTCAAGAGAGCTGGTGCTATTTAGCCTGGAGAGGAGAAGGCTTGGAGGAGACCATTGGAGTGACCATTGGCTACAGGAGGAGGAGTTCCAGCTAAGCACAAGGAAGAACTTCACCGTGAGGGTGCCAGAGCCCTGGCACAGGCTGCCCAGGGAAGTCATGGAGTCTCCTTCTCTGGAGACTTTCAAAACGTGCCGGGACGCAATCCCGTGTGACATGCTCTGTGAGATCCTGCTTTGGCAGGGGGTTGGACTAGATGATCTCTAGAGAGCCCTTGCAACAACCCTGTGATATGGCTGGAGAAAGCAGGTAAGGGTGGGGGTTTCTGCCTGTATCAGCCCACCTCTGC